TCTTCGGTTTGCAAATATGAGGTCTTTGTACATTTCCTTGATAATTAGGTATTTGTAAAGGGGTGAGTAGTGTAGATACTGCCACCGCGCGTGATTGTTTTGTTTCTTCACTAGGCTTGACTTAAGCGAGGCCTTGCTTATAATATTTCGCTTTATGTTAACGTCTACGGCTGTGTCGTCGGGTATATATATGTGTTTCCGGGAATGCATTGCACCCTTTTCGTAACGTCTGTCGAGACGTTGACCACTGGACGATTGATTCCGTACTGCCTGTTGCCGTGTGTTAAACACCTAGTCTTGAAGAACCGGACCCGCGGAGCAATTTATTGCTGCTTCCAAGCTCTCGTCTGCCGGGTAGCTTGCTCTCTTCGTAGATATTAAGCTGCCGAAATCTGCCTTCTCACCTCCGGAATAGAAGCTTGTCGGTGTTACCACATTGGCGCTGCTCGCCAAATTTGTCTCGCCTGGCTAGCTTGTTCACTGCGTCGGATTTACATTTCGTGGGCGAGGGCGTGTACACGTTTATTTTTATGAGTCGTCAGAAGACAATGTGTTGTGTGGAATGCGCTTATTCTTCATCGTCATAAGCCGCATCAGAAGCCGAATGCTCTTATTTCCTTACAAATGTGTGTTCGATAGCTTATTTATCAGCAGAATGACGAATGGCATAGTGGCATAGGGTTCGCTTCACTACTTAATAAAAGTTACACTGGTCGTATAGTGGGGTACATTGCATGTGCCGGGCCAGACAACGGACAAGCCTGGGTCCTGATGAGCCCCTAAAATGGGGCAGATTGCACTAGCGATGTACGCTCTTAAAAAATGAAGTTGGTAAACAGTTCGTAAACATTTGTATTCACTTGTATCGAGCGTATTTTACTACCTTCGCAGCATGCCTTTACCAGTCAGCAGTTGGTAAAGCTGGTAACGTTCTGGGTTACCAAACAGGAAATTTCTATTGGTGTTTTTGACTAAGTGACTACTAGGCCACCTACGTCGGCAGATCTATCGTAGATGCCGTTTTATATTTCACCGTTATTGTGACCCTTTCAGGCAAAATTCAGGCAAACTTCATATTTATTGACTACATTGAAATAAAAGTTTCGTGCTACGTGATCTCAGACACATAACAAAACAAAGGGGAACACTATGATGTTCAGAGAAAAAAAAATCAATTGTTCTTCTCAGATTCATAGCTGCTAATCAGTACACAGCGTGCGATCCCAAAGTAGAAGCATAATTACGATTCGAGCTGCTGCTACAGTAAAATTCGTCTATGTCGTGTTCTTGATACTGTGTGTGTGAAATCACGAATGTGTTCTTGTTGCTGGACTTCATATGATAATATGGGATCGTATAAGTGCGTTCTCATACTCATATAGAAAGATCATACAATCTGTTCTCCGAGTATGTTGCTGCGATGTGCACTTTTTTCATTTTTTATTTATTATCCCTCAAAGATTCCGTATGGGACTTTACATGAGGAATGGTCTACATTAAAAAATGTGGTACCAAAAGTAATGGTTAAGATAGAGCTGAGTGAGTTTCATGGATGGCATTCTTGAAGAGCGCAGAATCGGGGATGACTGCCGCGTCTTCCGGAAGGCCATACCCTGCTTCTCACACTGTTGAATACATGATGTAGTTAGCAGCGTCTAATTATTGTACGAAGACAGTCATGATATCACAAGGCAGGCACATCTTAACAAAATAGGTGTAAATATATATTCAACTGATTGTAATCTGCTAGTCAACACGGTAATTGTGTGGTGAAGACCACTTTAGAGGACTCGTTTCATGCTGCTGGCGTTGCTGCACTGGACCATAATAAAGTTGTTCTCGCTCATCCGGTTACTAAGTTGGCCACTAACAATTTGATAATGAACAAAGCATTCGAATCAGCAGAGTTCACTAACCTTCATTTTACTACCTTCACTTACTAGGAGGCTGGTGATTTTCCTGACAAGTAAACGGTTAGAATTTCGGTGGGGGATGAGGGAATATTTCAACTTCTTTATGAGGGTGCGCGACTGCAACTAACCGCGCAGCTAGAGTTCGGATGAATGGAAACGAAAATGGCCTGCCAAGCCAATAAAATTGGTTGGGCGGAAACATGCCACGGGACTGACGTCACGTTGTTTCATTGCCGGAAACACTTCACGTGACCAGCGTAACGAAATTTCATTGGAACGTTTCGCCTCAATAGGGTTACAGAATTTACCATCACGTGACTGGCGTTACCTGCTATTGGCGCCCACTTGCGGTGTGGTACCTCATTAGTGGTGCCTCGTTGGATAATGGTACCTCATTTTACGGTGCGCAATTATATAGCGCACGTGGTTTTGGCAGAAATATATTTGACATGACTAGTGTTCCAGGATTTTGGTGAGGACGTGGTACGCGTTTGGAGTTTCGTGATTTCACGTCCCATTATAGCCATCCTTTTCGTTTTTCGTTCGTTATATCGCTTTTCAATTTCTTCTTTCTCTTTGTTTTGAACCTTTTCTCTTTCTTTTCTTGTTTTTCTTGACTCCTCTTTCTTTCTCTTTCAATCCTACTCCCCTTTATCCTACATTTTTGCATCTCTCTCTCTTCTTTTATCTCTTACTGTCTTCATATCTGTTTTAGTCTGTTAACAGCGGCGTACTTGTTCGTGGAGCAACGCAGAATAGGAGGAAGATGAGAGCGCTCACGGGCATAGTGGTTATGATTTGTGCCTGCGCTATCGGCGGATAAGTCAAGCAAAACAGCTCCGCTGCTTAAGCGAACAAATTGCCCGTTATTATTGTTGTTTATATATACGCCATTTTTGTAATTGGATCCCTCAATCGCGTATTCAAAGTTTCAACAAAATAAACCAAGAAGGAAAAAGTATAATGTGGTCTAGTGGTCACATATTTTCTTAATTGCTTTGAACTGTCTGAGCTTTACAAATGGGTAACTGGTTTTCATGACTGTGCCGCCCACATCCACCCAGAACCAGATAAAAATGTGAGGTTACTGCCCCATTGTTCTTTTAGATGACAAAATTTTCCTACTATAATAGCGGTTTTTTTGCTAAAGCAGTTATATGGACACTCTCGGTCGGATTTTGCCGCCGGCACCAGCTTCGCCGTCATTCACCGTATATATATATATATATATATATATATATATATATATATATATATATATATATATATATATATATTATATATATATATATATATATATATATATATATATATATATTTGTGTGTGTGTGTATGTATGTGTGTGCGTGTGTGTGTGTGTGTGAAAACGCAAGAAAGAAAGAAATCCTGAAGAAGACTCCGGCGCACGGAATCGAACGTATAGAACGCATGAGTCGTGAATGTGAGGTGTTAATCACTGAGCCTTAGAGAAGCACGTCCAACAGTTTTCAAATGGCAAGCTATTTCTATCTACCACTTACCGCTGGTGATGGGCATCTCAGGGAGAAATTATTGTGTTTTCAGCACTACCAGCAAGATGACGGAATAGGCGCGCGGCGGTGCGTGCCCTTATCACCCACGCGTACTTAGCCCCGCAGAGAGGAGAAGCTGGACGCTTGCTCGCGCGCCCTCATCTCGCGGTTGGGAAAATCGTACATCTTGGCTGGTCTGTGGCTTTCACCGGAACTATTCTGTTGACGCACAAATGTCCCTGCAATCGTTGCACAATCTCCGTTTGCGGAAAGAGCGTGCTTTTCAGACAGCGAAGTAACAACTGAGACGCTTATTCGCGTTCATCTCTACGTGTGACTACGTTTCGTGTGTTATTTGTGCGAGAGAAACGCAGGGCACGTTTTCATATGCTTGTCATTCTGCGCGTGACCTTCCTTGTTGCTATCTGTTGCTATCACTTTCATTTCTTCGCCTTCGTGGCAAAGCTGGGACTTTTTTATGCAAGAATTGCTGGCAAAGCATGCATTTTTTTTTTGCTTCGCAAGAAAGGGTTCTTTTTCTTGGGCCGTACTTCTCTTCTGGTAAAGTACCTTGTAGACTAGGTCAGTGTCGGCGATCTATCAAGGTAGTTCTGAGAAGAGCGGCTGCGCGAAACCATGGCCAACTCCGCGCTTACACGTTCACTACAATTTGCGATAACGGTCGCTAACTGACACTGTCAAGCTCATGACGTCATTTGCCGTACTCGATGTAGTTCGACCTTAGAGACCAGAATTTTCATTTTGTACGCTCGCAAGGCAAATGATCGAACACGAGCCCGTTATCTGGCGTGATTACTAACATGTTTGCATACGCAGAACAACCAATCCCACCTTGTGATTTTTATTTGTGGCAGGAGCGAGGATTGGCTTTCATCTTTCTGTTTAAAGTGCCACCTGCTGACCACTGACTTCAAGTTTTCTGAATATTCAGAAAATGCGTCAAAAAATGGAACTGTTTAGGACAGGTTTATCAGCACAAAAAGACAGAATACTTAGGGATCGATAACACAAACACCAACACACGCACACACAAAAACACACGTACTCACGCACACACTCATTGGTGCCCTTGAATTGAATGCATTACTTTGAACGCAAGGCATTTTAATGACATTATTTCAAGCAAATAATCGAAGCAATGAAGGAATGGCATGAATCAAGGCAGCTAGAACAAATGAAGCGATGAAAAAGCCTCTTTGCTTTTATCTGGCATAAAAAAAGCAGTTGCGTTCAAAGTAACAGATTTGTTGTAAAATCAGTGCTGCACGTCTGCCTTCACGCCTATAGGTGTTATGGAATTTTTTTTGCGATGGTAGAGCCTGTTATAAACATGAACCAACACGTCCAAACAGCAGTTTTAGCGAAATAAATTCTACGTAATCGATTGATCGTGTTAAAGTCGACATTTATATTAGACACATATGGCAACGTATTATGCATTTATGTAAAAAGATAAGCGCTAAGTAAGTGTAACGATAATTGGTTAAACGTAATATAATGAGTTCTCTGAATGGGCTTACGTTTTCTTTGTCAGCCGTTTGGATGACGGCGGCATATGGCGGGGCAGATCTCATCCCCGCTCTCCTTTCTACATGGCCCCCGAGATCCGGTAAGGCAGCGTGACACATAGTCGTTTAAACCCTAAGAATACACGTGACACACGAACGTCCAGTTGCACGTGCCCTGTATGCACGTGAGTCATAGAAATCACGTCATGTACTGGATGATTTACATGACGCTTTTTAGGTGGGGATTCGGAACGTTTTGTTTACTCCGTATATATCAAAATAGGTACGGCATGACATGAGCACGTGGCGAACGTAAATCGCAGTTAATGTATTGCGCTTAACTTATCATATGCTTCCTTAGCATGGTGTAAACCAGACTGCACATGCATGCCTGCGGGAAATTATGCGACATTGACATTATAGGAAGTACGGTGTCAAAACATGAAAAACTTCACTTGCTTCAGTGACAAGCTAGGTGATGTATGCAGCTTTTTTCTCGCTGTTTCACATTACATCGAATCCCACAGGGCGTGGAACCTGCCAGTTTTTTTTTTTTTGTTATTTCGCGTTCGCACTGTCAAGCTACTAGAGAAATGTTATTGTTGGCTAACCTAAGCATAAAAATGAACAGGAAAAAGGTGTTATTTAAATTGCTGTTTACTCTAAACAGTACAAGACGAAAGCGATTGAAGCATTGACGAGAATTCGCAAAGCTATGTGACACAAAAATACAAAAACTCCAGCATCTGCCAAGAAACTAACTTACACTGTCGAGCTCATGACGTCAATAGACGTACTCGATGTAGTTCGACCTTGGAGACCACCATTTTCGTTTTGTACGCTTGCAAGGCAAATGATCGAACACGAGCACGTTATCTGATTATCAATAGACCCAATAAACGAGTCAGTGTCATATTTCTAATGCAAAAGTTTTGTTTTTTATTATCGTTATTTTCAAGTGACATGTTTTTCGATTAGTTTATTGTTCACAAAATTCTTTGAACAAGTTGTTCAACAAAAATGCGTCCTTGTTGTTCCTACCCCAAACTACAAATGCATGCATTATCTTTTAGCGGTAGTTTTTAATGATAACCTAGTTCATGATTTTGCTATGACTAAACTTGTTCGCTATTACTTTAATGTCAATGTATAACCTATGATTTGCATGTCATTTTGTAATTCCTGTTTTTTTGTGTTTTCTATCATTATGAATCTGTGTAAACAAATATTCGTTTTCATATGCCTTCCCTGCTATAATCTCTGAAGAGATTGGCAGTATTGGTAAATAAATATACAAATAAATAATTAAATAAACTGTGCAGCCGCATAGGGAGCAATGAGGTAGAACAAACGAGAACATGTCCGCGCTGTGTCAAGGTTCATCGATCATATCTGTTTTGAGATCAATATTGATATCAGCGCTCACAAAATAGGTCGCACTTATATGTAACTGTTTACCAAAGGCGTGCGCGAGCAAAAAGTTCAGTTGGCCAGCAATGCGAATCGTTTTTTTTTTTTTTTCAGGACACTTCCATGTCCCGGTCATGAAAAGGAAGTCAAGTTATCGCACCGAAGCCAAGTATTCTTGTACAAAAAAAGTTGAAGAAAGGAAGTTTCCTTTTATGCGAATTGTTCCATGCGAAGGGTAATCTTTTTTTTGAACTTCAATTCCCAACTTGACTACATGCTCCGCTCATAGGGCGCTCTCGGCCGTTTCGCTAGCTTCCAGTATACCAAACTTGGTGTTACGTGGCGTGAGTTGAGTACAAATACAAATGCCAGACGGAACAACGATAATCGTGAGATGGAAGTCATGTACGCCATAATTTACCATCCTCACTGTACATGTCTCCGCTCAATAACCACATGTGAGCTTTCCTCAATCGCTGCGTTTGGGGAAGCACGCGTAGTTGCTTCATCCCTTTCTGTTGTTTCATAACTTTCGTTCTCGTCGATAGCAGCGAAAACATTCAACTTCATACATTTCCTAGGCACGGGCGCGGTGCGTTGAATTCCTGACACCCTAGAGTTCTTCGGTGGAGGGAAAGTCAACCGGTGGCATCGTGACCAACCGACTTCCTCGCATTCTTTCCGCTGTGACCAACCGACTTCCTCGCATCTATCAACGATATTCAAAGTAAAAAAAAAACACCCTAATTGCACCTACACGTGCCTAGCAAGCTTTGTTCTCTTTATTTCACATCGGCGAGCACCTTCGCATTATTTAGACGTAGTAACCGCTGCTATGAAACTTGCAATTATTGCCTTTTTTATCTCATGTTTCAATACTAGTCAGAAGTAGTGGGCATGTTAAGAGATTAGAGGTCTTTCATTCATTCTGAAATCAATGAATAGTACATATGTAGAACTTCAGGGGAGATGGTAAATGAACTAACGCCATCTACGACACACTCAATTTCCTCACGTCGAAAATTTATTTTTTTCCTCCTGCCCCATCTACCCGTTTTCACGCTTTCGCCCTTTTCCGCACCCTTCGCCGGCGTCGAAGAGACCTGCTTGGTTTTTTTTTTTCTCTTTCTTCTCTTATTCTTTCTTTCGCATTTTCATCGGCATCCGCTGTCAAGCCCTGTTTGTACGACAATTCAGAGTCTGGCGTCATGAGACGTCCAAAGCTGGCGTCCTTGAGTGGCCCTTCAGAAACCACGGCGATTCTCTTCAGCGCACGGGGAAAGGGTTTGCCGACGTTGCGTTTCGCGAGATCGTTCGTCGCGTTTCCTTCGGCGCCCGGCTGTAAAGCCTTCGGGCCGCGCTGATCCTATCCTTCCAGGTTTACCGTACAAGACGTTAGAGCCCTCCCTCTCTATCTGTGCTCATATTCGATGTGCAGGAAAGAGTAGCCACAGAACGCTCGGCGTTTCCCTTTCCATGCTTCTTGTGTATTCTAGTCATCGCGCAGCGGGTCACAATTCAGGTGTCAGCAACACAGGCAGAGCCGTTCCAAATTGCACGCCACTAGGCCGGCTGCTGCAGACTTATACTTCTCCCTGTACAGTTCCGGCTTAGGATTGGCAGAAGTGCTTCTAGTAAACATGTCTCGGTGGTGCGCACTAGCGGTGGCTCTCAGTAGGATTGCTCACCGTCGTACTCTATGCCGAAGCCCAGGAGATTCTATGCCCACAACACAGTGAGTACTTGTTTATCGTGTGTACGTTCGGGCGTTGTGCACATGCTTCTCCAAGCGCCTCGTTACTGATGCACTCGAAGCTTGCAGTATACTTGAGTGTAAAATTATTTTTCTGAATGTTAAAACGAGGGTGTCAAAGGGTTCCGATGGGATCTTTGTTGGCACTCTGTTTCGGGGACAACTTTCGCTTTCGACAAATAATGTGTCTTTCATTTGAGTTACCCTTGCCTATATGGACGTTCCTTCTGGCAAGCTGTTCAGCGAGCGTAATCTGTTCCAAAGTTTAGTTAAGGCACCCAACGGGATCCTAAATGTTATATCATTCGTGAGCTTTACGCGCATACATGCATGATTGATACGATAGGTCTTGTTTAGTAAGGTTCTTGAATATCGTTCTCCATTCGGAATGACTACTCTTCCACATATATGGTTGTTCAGTCAGAAATGCAAGCCGGAATATTAGGCCAGTCATTCACTTCTTTAATTACAAAAACAATTCTTTATTTAGCGAGACTAAATATATGACAGGTGGCTCGCACCTGCATTTGCGGTTTTCTATTTGTGTACCGCTACTGACACAGGCTTGGTCGCCGCGCGTGACGTTACTAACAGGCACATACGTGCAAACTCAGAACCGGATACAAATAAATGAATGTTGATTGATTGACCAATTGATTGATATGTGCGTTGTAACGCCCCCCCAAAAAATAAATAAATATGTTAAACGTGTTCTGACAACAGTATTCGAACTGTCCACTTCGAGCACTCAAGTTCGATACAGTACTCCATCCTTTTTTTTTTTTTGCTTACGCTAACTATGCTACTGCGTGTATGCTATTCCGTGGAGCAGAACACCTCTATGGACGTTTCGGACTCAAGCAAGCACGTTTAGACACTTGGCGCCTATTAAAACACTTTACAATGACATTTTTTTTCTATGAATCCATGCATTGACAAGTTTAGCCGTCATCCATCCAAATTTTCATCTTTGAAATCACAATGGTGTTTGACTCTATCCTATTCTAGATGAAAAGTATCTTCGCTTGTATTCCCTCATAACCTACGATGTGTAGGAATGAAACGTGGAACAAAGTAATGCTGTAATTTCAGCCTCTGCTGTTTATCTTGATATACCTTCATATATTACGAGTCCTGAACTGATCACTCGCATATTTTACGTGGCCCGTGAGGACAAATTGTAATTTTGCAAAGAACTGAGCTTCAAATATATGGTTTTATATGAGGTTTCCATTGCGTTTCTTTACTTTCCCTTCAACTTTTTTTTGCTGTTTTCTTCTTCCTTGAACTTTGAAACTCCCCCATTTCTTCCACCATTGACAGGTATATTATACCACTTATTAATAAATGTGCGATTCCACGTAGTCTGGTTTGTTTCTTCCCTTATAAAGGCAAAATATTGTAAATCTTAGTCATTGGTTCAGGCAGTTTTCTGGCGCAGTTTAGTCTGTTTGAACGTTGTTCAGACTGTGTTTAGCGCAGATTTTTCTCATGCAGAACACAATACCAGAATATCTAATTTCTCTGCTAGTAACAAGTGAAAATAGTGCCTGCTTACCTCATTTTTCAACACCTTTGCGTATATCCATCAGCCAGCGGTGTTAACCAATATGTACTTGTAACAATACGGGGTCAAACACAAAGCAAACTTATACAATAACGTGTATCATGACTTCTAAATGTGGAGCACTTCTCAGCGCACATCGGCGACTTTGAGCGTATCTATCTATCTATCTATCTATCTATCTATCTATCTATCTATCTATCTATCTATCTATCTATCTATCTATCTATCTATCTATCTATCTATCTATCTATCTATCTATCTATCTATCTATCTATCTATCTATCTATCTATCTATCTATCTATCATGTCGCCTGCGACTTTTAGCTCTCTTGCCCGTTCCAATAATGGGATCTATGCCAAAATTCGTATGGCGTAACATGAATGCATGACGAGCATAAGTTACTAGTCGTTACACAAAAATCAATGCATGTATGTCATGAATGTCATGATATACATGTCATGGTCTTGCTGCTGCGGCGGTGGTTTTGTTCATATGATATAGAACGAAACTGGTATGGTATGATATGACTGCACGGCAAACATAAGTGACAGGCCTTAACGTGAAGATCACGACATCATGTAATATAAGCCATGTTTACTCGCAATGCTCATGGTGTGCTCGTGGTCGCTTCGCTAGCTTCGCATATACAAAAGCTGGTATTACTTGACGTGAATGGATGACGAAGGTATATGGATGGTGCAAACATGATAAGCACATTCGTGTCGTGTAAGAACATGATTACATTTCACGGTCATGATGTGCCCACCACCGTTTCACTTGCTTTACAAATACTAAATATGGTATTACGTGACCCGAAAGGATGACGGAGGTAAATGATACGTCCAAACATTACAGTCATGACATGCATTTCACGTAAAACATTACTACTTGTTACGCTCATAGTGCACTCTCGGTCGTTTCGCTAGCTTCACATATACTAAATTTGATGTTACGTGACGTGAATTTAGGATGAACACAAACGCCAAGAGCAATCACGATAATCATGCCATGAAAGCCATGTACGACATAATTTACGTTCACCTCGTAACGTTGTGCTGATTTTAAAGTGACATATCAAGCTTCCTCATTCGTGCTTCGCATATCTTCGATTCCCACTGTACGTGGGATCTGCCAAATTTTTCATTCATCACCATCTAAGGCTAATTAAAAAAAGTTCCCGCGTAGACGTGGTCACACGCGTAGCTGCTTCGTGGTGTCAGGAACATCCCTATCGGGCAACAAAGCAAGATCCACTGTCACGATGGTCGGGGAGGTCCCACATAGCTCGGAAACGGGAAACGACGTTCCACTTGTAACGCTTGCACAAGTGTTCCATGATATTATAAAACAGGAATAAGTGATTGCATATTTCTCGAAAGGGTTTCTTAAGTGAGGCCTTGATTCACACCCAGTTGCCAGGGCTCTGCGGTTTATGAAACCTGCCGCTGTAACTGGCTTCATGCCAGTGGTCAGCAGCTGTTTATAGAAAGACATGATTTATTACAAGACAGAGAGGTCGGCCTCAGCTAGTTCACTTTAGCCTGTTACTCGGCATGTTACTCGGCACAGGAGAAGCGAGACAGGGAAAGAAAAAAGAATGTTGAAGGACGATGCTCGCTAAAGAAACAAGTGATGCGCATGTACAAAATGACGACGTTGCACTCTCACTTCGCTATAGCCTACTGTCCAGTCCTGAACATTTTAGGAAACCAATGACAGCCCCATACAGTTGTTCAACTAGTCTGATTTTCTGTAGAGGACTGCGAAGAAAGGCTCGAGCACTAACCAGTCTATTATGTAGTCTTCGCTTCTCTTCCTCGGTACGTGCTCGTATACAACCACACTTCCCGGTTTGCATGCCACAGCAATTGCGCAAGCCAGCGATCCAGTGCTTCAGGTTGTTAGCAACGTTGCAGACCGGAGAAGGGTTGCGGCGGAGGGCCGTACAAAGGTGGTACACTGGAGGTCTTTCAACAAATGCGTTGCCAATAAGCTCCCGTTTTCTCTTTTGGCCAGCCTTTTCCGTGGTAATGAATGCACTCAGTGCTGAAATTTACGGTGTCGTACCATTTTGGAAGACGCAGTGCCAGTTCTGTCGGGACTAATATACGAAGCATGAGCACCCGCAAAGGCTCATTCATACAACTCACTCTCTAAACAATTTCCCAGGCTAACTCTCATATAATTCTTGCTTATTTGTGACAACCAGCAACGGAGATGAAATCAAGCGTTTTTTACTGAAAAGAGCGATGTGAGCATTACTCAGTGTTAAATTTGCTTGCTTATTTCGTCACGTGAGTTTTTCCCAGACTCAACTAACCTCAACAGCGTCTTACTCTCTCAGTAGTGGTCAAGGCCTAAAATAACGTCAATGGTAACTGAAACGAGAAAGCCACGCGCCAACCGATTTGCTGATATTTTGATTACATCGGCGCATTTCTCTGGAAATACGCCAGGAAAATTTGCAGACCAACGCAACGCTTGCTTTCAAACCCCAACTTTTTTTTTACATGGCTAAACTTCTCGCAATTTCATTCATTCAGTGGGGTTACTATCATCAGGCCTTTTTGTGAATGCTAACATTCGCAATACTTTGCTGTGTATGGCGCGAACGGGAGCGAAGGAATTCCCAGCGCTGATTTACCACCTGCATTTTAAACAGCAGTGATGGCTCACAGCCAACATCGCGTGCAATATTAAAGAGGAAGCACCATATATGTTTTTAGGATGTGGAAGTCAAATCCGCTTTGTTATTTTCAAGCGCCCTATTTTAGTACAAGACTAACACAGTTTCATTTGAGCGTTACAGGTCGTTGATGTAGATACATCTTTGCTTGATTGCGTAGTGCAAAGTTAGTATCTGCTTGAAAAACCATTAGCTGGTACATATCAACAAAGGCAGTTGCAGAAGCGGCGTGTTCCAATTACCTTCCCACTTTTTTCAGGCCTTCGCTCATATATTCTCTTCAGAATTCCTAAATTTTTTTCCAATAAAAGCCTAACCTTGAAAAACTGACTGTGTAACGACAGTGTGGGTTATGCATTAGGGCAATATTAAATATCGTATTAGGGTGGCAATAAAACTAAAACAAATGCTAATCATTCGTATATTTCAACGGTGAAACTGCTGTAATAAAATTGCGAAATTTAGTGGACTCTGATGTACAACAATTAAAAATAATGTTTAAGCCACAAGAAGTTCGTAAAACTATATATGTGCACGAAATCTTAGCATCACAGCAAGCATTCTTTGACGAATGTTTCCTACAACTGCTTGGCGTAATATAAATGATGCCATACCAATTAAAAAGTAATAACATGACACTCCAGTTGTACTGACACCAAAGTAGGTTCATTTTCGTTAGCTGCCATGTTAAAGAACAATACGCATGAAATCAAGGTTAAACATGATTGAACATACAAGTTTCGGTAGTAAACTATTGATGATGCCATTTTAGGTGGAAGATAGCAAAATTTCTCATAACTATAGTTTTGCAATTATAAACAACAAATAGCTTTCGTCAGCCGAAGCCATTATTTAAAACAGTAGACCTTTTATAATCCTATGTCCGTACGAAACTTTCATTCCACTCTGGAAATCTATCATTTATTACTGAATTCACATTACTCACAACATAAACATAAGGCGGATCCGCAATACATGAAAAATTGATTCTCCTCTATCGCTTATTGCGAAAAAAAATTTTTCAATTTGCTACTGGCTTATCAGCCTTGAATATCGAAGCAATTACCGCGGTTTTATTCTTGTGCATTTTGTTGAGAAGTATTCTGCTTTGTGAGGTCAAATCTTTTTTATGGAAAACATTACCAAAAAAAAGACATTTTACACTGTGTGATTTAGCAGCTGTTCAGTGCTTCTTTGATTTTCCCAGAGCACTTGGAAGGTGAAGTACAAAAATGCAAGGAGCTCCTGCCAGACCTCTCAGGAAAAAAAGAAAAGGTAAAAACTGTGATCAGCATCGCTTGTTTTTTTTTTTTTTTTTTGAAGTATCCTCATTGGCAAAGAATTGAAATAAGCAATATATGAAATATCGGGATCATTGTGTTCAGCTGATGATGTACTAGAAGCGTAGTGGGACACTAGCGTGGGAGCTCATGACTACATCAGTGGACCCCATGGCCAGAGTTCTTTGAATAACAGGTGTCTAGTAGCTACTCCCACTGTGCCATGTCGACTGATCAATCAAACTGGAATTGCTGCGCATGCTTTTCAGCCTATGCTTGTGATCTGAAGCCACGTGACAGGCTTCCGAAGAGGAAGAATAGATGTTGGCGCAGGCATGATTGAAACAAATATATTGCTAAGTACAAATTAAGACCTCTTATATTGCTAGAAAGGCAAGCTCTGCGGTGGTGTCTCGGGCTACCTAGGTGTGTCTCGAATAGCGTGCTTTATTTGGAAGCTAGAATCATTCCACTTCATGTTAGATTTCGACAGCTTACTGTGCAAACATTTTTAAAACTTTACGATGCGCCCCTCTTCTGGTCACAGACAGTTTTCATCAAACATCCAGTTTCTTTCTTTCAGCGCCCGTGGTTTCGTTATCAAAGACCCCAAGTCATTTTCGTCGAGTCTCTGTTATCAAATCTTCACGTTTCCCTCCGGCATTTAACCCCCCAAACCCAATGCTCGGTGCCAGTTGACTTAAGTTTTGATGATATTTATCCGAAAAATGCCAAGTTACTTCGAAAGCATGTTCTGGAGGGCCTCCTTCAAGACCATCTAAGTCATTTTCCTAAATACGTAGTAATTTCGACGGACGCAACGCAAAATCTTCAGAAGGCTGGAGTAGGTATTTTTTCTCATCAGCTTAATTGGTCTTTTCCGCTCCGATTGCCTGACTTCACACCAATTTATCTCGCAGAATTCCTGGCTATTACATTGGCTCTTCAAAAACTAAATTATCAGCAATCAAAAGCTATTATTATTTCGGATGATTTGTCTGTATGTACACATCTCACGTCCGCAAAGAAGTCTCCTCTTCTCAGGATATTTTGGTCTCTCGTACTGCATAGTTTATCAGAAGTTCGGTTTATTTGGGTCCCCAGGCATGCTGGAATTGAACTAAATGAAATTGCTGATTCGCTCGCTTCGGCATCTTTAAATTTCCCGGTGCTGCTAGTAGCTCCACAGTTTCCTTTTATTACTGCCGAACGATTCAAACGCCTGTTAATCTTAAAAATCAACGAAACGTCGCTTCTACAATCTGAAGAATTTCGGCACTTCCAATTCACATGGAACACCGCAAAATGCCTTTCCCGTCAATGTGAGGTGACCCTCACAAGCATTCGCTGTAGAGTTCCTCTGCTAAATTTTTATCTCAACAAATCAGGATTTTCATTAACTAACCTATGTGTAGTTTGCAACGAACCGGAAACAATAGATCACTTTCATCTCACATGCCGCCGCATCGCCTCACTGCGCCGAATAATTCTTGAAAGAACGATTGGTATGCTCGCAATGCCAGTTCAATACATCCACCCTATTATCGTTTGGAGCTAGTCAGTTGGGTGTGGGCCGCAGTGCTATTCTGTCAGCGCTACATAAATTCATTCAGGCAACCGGAAAGATACGCTGCTAGTGGTACTGCCAGATATATCCAATTCTTTCTCCCCCTTCTTAATTCTTGTTAATTTGTTTTATATATTTTTGTTTATCGCATTCTTCTGAAAAGTTTCACGTTTTTTCAAAGGAACATCATTATTGTTCCTATCTAATTTCTCTTTATTTTTTTAGCAAGCGTTGTAAAAAAATGATCTATTATGAGGTACAGTGTGGCCAATCCCCCATGTGGTTATGAGCCAAGATCTCCTAGGAGACAAGACAAGACAAATATATTGGTCATATTTGTCGCCCCTGTTTATTTTCGAACAAGCCAATTTCGTGAGATCTTTCTGTAGTGAAATTGCAATAGTAGTTGTTACGTACCACGTTTCTCTGTCACTTGCATGTAACTTTTTTTTCAGTACTATAGCTCTCTAGAGTCGACATTTTGGACTTATATGACGAGAAAAAAAAAAGAGATAAACAATAATAGGCAAATATCTTAAGCTGCAGTATGACCTGTTTGGTATTATGCACCAAATCCAGTGATGAGCTTGAGCTTCGATACAAATACATTTAGCCCATTTGTTAATACAAAACGACTGTCAGAGTGGTTCCGCCTTTATTGGAGAAAATATGTAGCCATGGATCTTCTGTTTTATTTTACAAAACTATAATTCGTTTTCTTTAGCTTTAAATCACCCAAGCCTTGCATTTGGGCTTGGGCTTCTTTCTACAAAAGCACCAGATTGGGAGGACTTCTACGCAAATGAGAAGTAAGTAGCAGTCAAAGGGGTACAGCTTCACCTCATCTACAGAGCAGATTTGTAGCGGTTCAAAAGTGTTATTTATTTCGAGGTGAGGTGTTGCCAATGCCTTCTAAATGGATCAATTGCTTTCGGTTCAACGTATCATGCCAGGAACTGAATTTCGCGCCTTCCGTAAGCTCCGCTTGTACTCATTGCAGTGTTATTCAAGAACGCTGGTAACTGTGGTATGTTTTTAGGGCATGATAAAAGTAAAAACATCGCAGCACGCAGGGACTGATGAAGAACACGCACATAGCGTTGCATGCATGTTCTTACCTACACTTTCCTTGACGTGCTGTTATTACAACCCCAGGCTTCTTCCATTAGCCGTAAATAGCAGTTAAACAATTATATTACTGATGAAGAAACAACAATGAAATTCAAATACCTGATGAAGTTATAAATATTTTTTTTTCTTCACCAGAAGAATAAGAGCCACGGTAGAGGCCAGTTGGTTGGACATAGTTTAAACTTTTGCGCGGTACAATGAAGGAATATAACTATCACAGAAGCGGAAGAATCTTTTCTATAGGGTATAGAAGGCAACAGATGTCGAGATGCGCGGGCGCTGAATTGAGGATAACCCCTCTTGTGATGCACCTCTTGCACGTGCCTCAGTCTTTCTTTTCGCTGTTTTTTTTTTTCACCACGACTCTCGGTGTGTATTTATGGTATCGTGATTCTGTAAAAAAATAAACAGTTGTCGATTCGCGCTTGCGTTGTCCCATTTGTTTTGTCCTCAATTTTCTTTCATTGAAGAGCACAAAAGTTTACATTGAAACCTAACTTACCACTTCAAGTTGTGTGCATCATACGACTAGCTCTGGTGTGTTCTGATGTGCTCTGATTCGCTTTAATGTGATATGATGTTCGCTGCACGTATATCCACATTTTTATTTTATTTGTAGCTTACTCTCTGCGCTTGGTTAAAATGAGTAGAACTCTATGGAATCATTTCCTATGCTGCCCTCGGGAGGCTCTCAGAAGCAGTCCATCTGTTTGCTCAACTTTTTGTCTGGGGTACCCCCAACAACGGGGTTGGAAACAGAGTGGATCCTGATACTGATGTTTACACCTGCGTACTCCGCAGTTGGCTGCCCTGAGCATCCGTTACGGCCTCCGCTGTGCTCGTGAGGTTGACCCCGACATCTCGCTGCCCGACATCAAAGAACGTCGCTGCAAAAACGATGACCCTCAGGACTTTCCCAGAAAGGTACACGTCATTCCATTCATCTGTCTCCAGCGTCCTTGTAGGCCATCGTTAAACGTTGTTCGTTGCCGTCGGCTAGGCCTCTGTGCCCTTGAAATTAACGTTTGCCATTCGTGAGGTTTTCACAGTAGTCGCTTTCGGTTTTGACTAATACTATTTGACGGCCTCACGAATCTATAGGGGTGAGCGCAATTTCAATGGGGACTCCGTAATGACCTTGCCCAATAGTCACAGCAACAAAACTGTTAATGTTTGGAGGACGCGCCTTGGCAAACTTCTAAACTGCGCATGAACAGAATCAAAGTCCTCATGCCTCAATACTGTTTTTACATACTGCTTCATCGTTCACTTCTGCATAAAAGAGCATTATCTTAGCATTAGCTGCTAGTTGTAGCACTAAAAATGATGTTTAAACCATTTTCTTGGGTGCCACGCATTTCTTATCTAGCAAAGCGTCTTAAGAATCCTCAAGTATTCAATGCCCTGGCTGTCTCGGGTGACATTACCTTTTGGTGATACGCGGTATATTCCGAATTTTCCTTTACTTTTTTCTCGTTGAAGAGACAGGCGAGAGTGGCGTATTTGACAATAAATGGAATACGTGAAACTCCCTTTATATAGGGTGGCAAGATTGATGCATATTGCTCATTGGTTCATTGGATTGTGGCATGTCTTGCATAACAAGGCAGAACTGCTAGGTTGGTCGTTACTGCATAGATGGTGTGTGGCTCGTGCTATGCCTTTATTATACCGTACAAAACGTGTAGTGGACGCAGCATGAACGACTACTTATGAAATCAACAGAAAAATAAAATCTTGAAATAGAAAAGTGCACTGGCTGTGTAGCACATGTTTCAGTGATTGTAATTTTGAGTTCTGGAATCTACGAACAAGATGACTGGGAAACAACGCTATTACCATTTTTTCAATGGCACTGCAGGATTCTGCAAGTAAACCAAAAATGAGCGCGTAAGTAAAAGTGGACCGCCAATTACACGGGAGACTACATTGTATGGTTGCTTTGGTTCACTCTGATGATCAGTCGCCATTACGACATAATTATTTTGTAATCTCTGTCTCTTTTCTTCAAAACGTCACAAAGAACAGTGTGGAGCATAAATAAAAACACTTACTCAAACAAATGCGTGGAAACCTGTTTTATCTACAATCTATGTAAGTCATGAATATTGCGTACCACTTGCAATCAACGTTGAGCAAAAAAGCTTTTCCCCCTGTCATGTGAGCCTTAGTACAGAAATAGGAGCTCAGAGCAATAGAATTAGCGATTCTAATTGCCTAACATTGAGTTATTGCTAAGCCTAACACTTATACAATTCGCTATTTCGTTTCAAAGATGGAAACAAAACTCAATGGCGACTTCACCTGTACTTTTCTTTCAGTTCTACCAATGCTGGAACAGGCTGCTCGATACCGACGAGCTCTTGGTAAGCATAAGGAGTTCTTTTCTAAACGGATGAACACCGATACCGCATTGTACTTGAAAGGTCATTGAGGCATTACATTAGTCTTGTCAAAAACGTTTTCAGCAAAGCATTTATAGCTGCATTCTCGCATGCACTAGCAAGTCATCTTTTTTGGGTAAACAAAAGTGTTTCCACAATCATACTTTAAATACTCATTGATTTGACCTACTGCATTCATTTTTCAACCTCTCTCTCTCTCACTTTGTGTTTGCGGTGCTTTGTGATGTAAGCGGCCCGGAAAAATGTGTTGTACATGCAACACAATAAATGTCATTAACAATAACACATCTACCAGTATTAGCAATGTGAGAGGTCTGTTAGAAATGAATCAAGCCTTATTTTTTTCTGTAAACACCTGATAGATATGAAACAAGTGCGCTTGCATGAGCTGACCTTGAATCTTCGTGTGCATACACGAATTTTTCCCCCTGCTGATAGCATCAGCCGGTGGGTGCAGCGTTTGAGTGAAGTAATGCGCAGTGCTTTCGTCGGTGATATTATAGCAAGGAAAATGACACAGTGACTGGATCAGCGCTACTCCATAAAATTTCGCAAGAAATTAGGCGACGGCAAAGTGAACATCAATTGGAAGGTTCACACACCATTCGGTGGCCATGCAATGAGAAGTGAAAATAATATGCAAGGGTACGATCGTTTAAAAAACAGCTGCATTTCAGTGGAGAGCGAGTGATGGTTCGTTCAGCCATAAACATGCTGAAATGACCACGCCTTGCCGGACTGAAAGTTGTGCTGCTTCTAAACCATCGTGTGACTATCCGAGAAATTGAGAAAGAGGTGGGCATCGGTGATTTTTATGCACATTACGTTATGACCGAAGATTTGGCCATGAAGGGAGTTGCGGTTTAAGTCGTATCGAAGTGGCTCACGGTGGAGGAAAAAAAGCAGCTTTACGTTCAAGTCTCACAGTACATACTGGATTACACAAACAGCAACGGCGACGTTTTATACTAAGTCTGCATAAGAATAGGCTAGTGCCAATGCTTGGCGCCGGCTACTCTTCTTCTCTAACACAACACTCGTCATCGTATGTTATGTATAGAGCATTTGAGTCTGACTTTTTCAATACAACAATTGGTCTGCATAACACTTAATTTGAAAAGAAGCGCAGGAACTCACGCTGCTAGATGGTCCACACAAAACACTAACGTTCACTAATATGTTGCCAAAGGCGATCATGTATCTCGGAAGCAGCCATTGAAATACTGCTCTGTAACTGCAACGGATAGGTTTTTACAAACATTTATTGTGGCTAAGGTACTCGGCTGCTGACCCGCGGGGCGCGGGTTTGAATCCCGGCTGCGGCGGCTGCATTTCCGATGGAGGCGGAAGTGTTGTAGGCCCGTGTGCTCAGATTTGGGTGCACGTTAAAGAACCCCAGGTGGTCTAAATTTCCGGAGCCCTCCACTACGGCGTCTCTCATAATCATATAGTGGTTTTGGGACGTTAAACCCCACATATCAACAAACATTTATCATCCAAAATGTAAGCACAAGATTTTTGTAGGGAAACATACCTGCTAACAGTAACGCGAATGCATTATTTTTTTTCAATTTCAGATCTTTTGTGATATTTCTGATTCCTCCAGAAAGTGAACTACTAAACACGCAGCAGTGGCTTGTAGGTTGCCTTTCGACCATGGGTCAAATTATCGCTATTGAGGGGGATCCTCGGCTTCGTGCACAGGCTTCATGAACACCATAATTACCAGTGACTAAAACTGGGTGTATGGGTACGAACCGGAAACCAAATATTTGTCGTGAAAGGGGGGGCATTCCACGTCACCAAGAGTAAACAAGAGAGAGAGAGAGAAATAAATAAAAAGAAGAGACAGGGAGGTTAACCTAGACGAACTGGTTTGCTACCCTGTACGGGGGTGGGGAAAAGGTTTGGAAAGAGGATAGATATAGAGAGATATAAAATAAATTAGAAAAAAAAGCACATGCACAGACATTCAGGGAGTTCCGCTCACAGTCGTTTGAACAGGCCGGTTGAACGCAAGAAGCGCAGGAGCGCCTTCACAGCCTTCTTCGGCGACGTAATTTCCTGTCGGCAGCGCCGGATTCTTTCTTCCGAAAGAGGATGGTTGTCCAGTTCATCTAGTGCATTGCAGAGTGACTGTCTCTGCGAGCAATATTTTGGGCATTCACACAGAATGTGCCAAGTTGTTTCATCACTGCCGCAACGGTCGCATGCAGCAGTGTCAGCCATTCTTATGCGGATCGCGTACGCATTGGTAAGTGCGACGCCCAACCATAATCTGCACAGCATAGTAGCGTCTCGGCGTAATTCCGGAGAAATTCGAAGACTGAAAGTTGGGTCTAAAGTACCTAACCGTTCATGGATGAAATGTGACTCGTTCCATTGTGACGTGGTGTGCTTGCGTGCGAGCATGCGGAGTTTCCGTGCAGCGTCAGTTCTGGAAAGCGGAATTGATATTTCATCGCTTTCAGTATGGGAAGAACAGGCAGCTCGATCGGCCCGTTTATTGCCAATTATTCCACATCGATTTGGAAGCCATTGAAAGGCTATTTCATGTCCTTCCTCAATGAATTGGTAAGCCTTTTCTGCAATCTCAAATACCAGCTGTTCGTACGGGCCGTGGCGTAAAGGTGATAGAAGGGATTGCAGTGCCGCCTTTGAATCACTGAAAATTGTCCATTTTTGTGGCTGTTGGTCGTTGATGAATTGCAATGCGGCACGAAGAGCTGTGAGCTCTGCGCCCGTTGATGTCGTAAGGTGGGAGGTCTTAAAAAAAGAGCAAACAAAGTTCGCGAGTTGTGCAGTAACGTTAAAATGATACTTACTGATTTACTCTCCCGGAACGGTTTACCACAGGTATGTGCCACCTTGTCAATCACCAAAGAGTATTGCAGAAATGACCTCAGTTGTCCTTATGTGTTGCTGTGCGGCGGAAGACCCCGGAGTTATGGTGAATAGAATATTGGCAAATTCATCACGAGAATCCTACTGCACATTCCTCGTACTTGATTCACACTTTCATGGGAAAAAATCATACTCCTGAAGTACCAGTGGCCCGTCGATCTCCTGATATGACCCCATAAAACTTCCGACTGTTTGACAAAATCTATAGCGCATTGAAAGAAGCGCAATTTCAGATACGAGATGACATGCTGACTGTAGCGACAGCTGAGCTAAACTGCATTCAAAAAGAGGCGTTCTCGGAATGCTTCTAACAATGGCAGTACCTCTGAAAGAAGTGTCCCGAGGAGACTACTTTGAAGATGATTATGTTTCAAAGGCTCGAGTTATGCCACTTCTGTTCTTCAAAAGTCAGAGACCATTTTAACAGACCTCGTAGTTACGATGTAAAGCAGCTTCGGACGTAACACGAGTTATAGTTTTTTCAGTGTTTAAGTTTGAGCATCAGTGTAAAGCGCCAAAGACGATGTGCTTTAAAAATTTCGCAAGGTAAAGAGAAATACCAAACGTGCCAGGAGAAAACACTGCAAGCTGCGAATACTGTATAGTGATGCCACGTGACGCGCTTGATCCCCGTTGTCCACAATGAAAGCAGCAAGGAGCATAATAACATTAGGATAAATAAAAAAACTCTGAAAAGAGGAATTGCAACAAAAATTTTTTACCACAGCTTGAATGAATGTACCAAACTCTGTGGACTAAATGCAAACATTGTGTTATATAGTGTATTAACTGCCTGCAAACAAACACCAGCATTCAACCTACACGGCATTTTTCGATGCTTCAAAACCAACAAGGCCAAAAATGTCTCATAGAATGGCCACTACTAGCATAACAATAGAGTAAAAATGAGTGCGGCCTAGCATACCTAACGCATCTTGAGAACGAACCCTAGAAATTTGGCCTTATGTTATGGATGCATCTCGCACCCACGCTGACACTTTATTTTGATTGTTCTTTCTTTCAGACAAGGGTTGGCTTTACTGGGGACGAGTTGGACAGATTCAGAGCAGCAGCGGTAAGTGAACAGTATCCGCATTGAAGAACTAGCATAACAATGCACTTTAGCACAATAAATTATTGTTTGCGACAAATTCTATTACCACATGCATCAATATGACGAAGTTATTTAGTTGCTGCTTTCACTTTTCAGTCGAAAGTTCATTCTCAACCTATTGTGTTCCTTTTTTTCCTTTCGAGCAGTGGATGTTCAAGAGAGTTACACGTTTTGCGTAAATTATATGTCACATGCAAAATTTTAGTAATCCCCTAATAATAAATTGTTGTGTATGGTTACTCAATATTCCATAGAAATATTTCGGGATATCGCTAAAGAGCTAGTTCCGCAAGCATACGGGCATCGGTGTAGTTTGTTGTGACTTTAAGACCATCATATTGTCCATAACTGAAACATAGTTAAAATAAATAATTAATGAATAATGATCTGAGTAAGAATCGAACCCAGGCCATTCAGCGGCAGGTGTTCTACGACAGAGCCACGTCATTGTTCAAAAATGATCCTAAAAAACACACTCCATGAATGTCATGTATTAGTAAGAGTCCTGTTAACACATACTATTGTGTGGGGCGTAAAATCACGAATTTGTACCACAACATGCGAATTGTGCAACGAGTGGATCTCTGAAAAGCCCATCCACTACACACCGCTCCAACTAACTTTCTTATGTTGCCTTGTGGAGACGTAGTGGATTCTTCACTTAATTGCCAAATGAAAAAATATGATGTAGTGCGAACTTGAGAACTATACTTGCACTGTGGCTTCTAGGATAGTTCGAAACTGCTAATGCGTTCCTCAACAGTGGGGTTGACGCACGCACCGAGAGCCAAAGCGACATTAGAAAATGAGACTGCGATGTGCGCGGGGCCCGATTCAGCCATCGCGTTCTATTCTTGAAGGTGAAGCTCAAGTATCGTCGAGGTTTCTTCTTTTTTTATTTCATAGTTTTGATGTGAGATTTTGCGTTGTTTCTGTAGACATATGATAAAATTTGTATTCTGTCATTATACGTTACACACGTACGCCATTGTTGAAAAACTCAGCGATATTATCATGTCATTTATTGTAATGAGGCTAATAAAATGTGGAACTGAAGAGTTCCTCGTATAGTTGCGACAGCTGCTAGATTGTACGTGTTGCTTTTGCAGGCATTATTTTTTTTTTCGAATCACCCGTGACAAGCATCGTAGACGCACATTGTGAAGGAAAATTCGTCGTTCGTATACCGGCTGAGTGCCAAGCCTTAATGACACCTTGAGTGTTAATCTTGAGTGTTATTTTCCTGCCGTAACTGTAGTCAGCTCCTTGCGCATAATGCAAATGGGTGCATTTAGAGTACAGATTATTGGTTATACCGATGATAGAAAAACAGCTCCATTAGGCTATTTTCAGCAGTCGTTCATGCTTTTTTTTTGCTGTGCATTTATTTTGCAGAAATGCGTCAACAACGTGATCGAGAGAACCTTGACAGAATGATTGCCCTTACACCAATCCAGCATCGTAAAGGAAGATTGCTTTCTGCAACAACTCTCTCCCGGCGTGATCTGAAGCATGTTGGACAGACACCAGAAACTTGAACTACAAGCGCCACGCCCAGGCCCACTAAAAATCATTTTCGCCCGCGTTAATGGTCATGACGAATTTAAACCGGCTCTTGTACTACAAGTTCTTAAAAAGGAGGAATTCCAGACTCTTTTTATAAAGTACAATGATTTTTTTTTACCGTCAAAGTGCATACCTTCTGCGAATATGCTCATAGTTGAGCAATTGTTCGGAGCCTGTCCAAAGTCCTATTTATAAGGTTAACGCCCGAAGGTACACACTGCATGCTAATTCACAACTTGTCACTTATATCAATGAAATTATTGTAGAAAACATTCTCCTAATAAAGGTAAACTATTTATGAGTGTAAGAATACTTTAAAAAGAAATGGCCTCACTGAAAAGCCCTATATTGTGGCATAATTGAGCCACATGTGCAACCTTACATGCACTAAAATATAAACTTTATTGCTTAATGTAGGTGCTCATAATAATCGTAGAACCATTTTCAGGTTATAGTTAGAATGAGTGATACCTGAATGACAGCTGCAGGCCCAGCTGGTATGAAAACTGTGGCTGCTCATTGGAATCTCTGCAGGAGCGCTGCCTTTTACAATATGATAGTTTTACTGCAAACACTTTTGTTTTTCTACTAAACGTTTGTGGGTGAAATTATGTGCTTTCACATAAGAAAGAGGTTTTGAGTTATTGGCGTGCACCATGTTTCTGTTTACTTACAAATGCTTTGTTTATTTTAAAAATGACTTGTAATATTTGAGGTGGAACATTATTCCATCGTGGAGGAGGGAGGTTGCCAAGGTTTCCGACCAGCTGGGTGGTAGACTAGGGGCGAGAGCATATCACAAAAAATATTACGAAAAAGGAGATAACATACCTCAAGGTACGTACTTCGATGTAGTTCTGACACAAACATTTTTATACAATGTAACAGTTACATCGCTCTGCTCGGAGCGCACGTCATGTCTATACGAAGTCAAACATATATGCACGATAAAATAAATTTTCATTGAATCTTGATTTGAGCAAAAGTGCTGAATGAGAAGGTGTACCTCCTGCTGACGTAGTGATCACGCTGGTGCTATATGAAAATAACGTTACATTTAGAGTTCAGTTTCGGTAGCGCTGCTGGAGACATATATGTACGACACAGAAAACGTGGCATAGTAGTGGCATCTGATGATGTCCCACATCAACGAGACACCCTGCCAGACACCCACAAACACACCATTCTAATGATGTCATTTAACCTAGAATACTTGTAACGCGCAATCTGTAATAGACGGACAGCTGCTTCACCCCACTTTTGAAACGTGTGTGCCGTACGTATATGCGTGAAATATGTGTACTCTGAAAACTCAGTGTTGTCCGAACTAAGCAGGAGTCAGTAAATCGTTACGTGATGCCTGTTACATTAGCAGTAACTTGTACAGGGCCATCCACATTCAAAATGAACACCACAGTATTCTTCAAGCCCTCGCAGAAAGTGATGTTTCATAAATAAACCGAAAACTTACTATGGTGTTTGCTAATTACTTGTTTGGTGACATGCTCTGAGGATGTAAAGCGTTACAAAAGGCCTCTTTCAATAAATAAGAGGACTGGAAAGAAGCCCTCAGATGCGGCGATCTCCATGAACAACAATGGGATGTCCAAAGATAGGGCCCGCGAACTGGCGGAGGAACTACGACTCTGTAGTTCCTTGGGACCGGAATAATATTTGTTGTAGAACTGACTGACTGCCGACACCACGATTACACGTGTTATACCAAAATTTTTATTGCGAAGCAGAATCACCATCGTTCTATTGGTTTACCGACCAAAATACCACAAAGGTGTTCAGAGTATGTGTGATTGGCTTTTTGCTTTTTTACAGGTCGGTTCTTCATGCGTATTCCTTCAAGCAGCACGAAAAAATATCACTAATCATGTTGTTGGTGTTCCTTCTGCGTCCCTTTTTATGCGGCTTCAACCTATTCGTCGCTGACATGTTACGTTTGCACATTTACACATGCGCAGGCAGCAGGCAAACGTTTAGCGGCAAGCTGCCATGAAGTGCCACTTGAATGCCAACAGTTGATTGATATGTGGAGCTTAACGTCCCAAAACCACCATATTATTATGAGAGACCCCGTAGTGGAGGGCTCCAGAAATTTCGACCACCTGGGGTTCTTTAACGTGCACCGAAATCTGTTGAATGCGAACAGTGTCCATTTGAAAGGTCGTGGCAATGTTGTAATTCCACAGCTTCCATTGTAGCTCAAAGGACGCTACAATTCTAGCTCACCTCTCTGTCTATCTCTCGACTTATTCTCTCTTTCTTACAAAATGCTTCTTTGCAAATACACGGAGTGAAAGTGTTTCTGAACGCGTTATGCTGCGGCTGCTCCCAGGCTCACGGTAATCGTCATCTAAGTTAAAGAATGATTCCGACAAGAACGAAATTGCCACGGTTGAAGATATTCATGCTGTACACCGAACTTTCTTTAATTGCTATTCACACGTTTACCTTCTCTCTGGCTAGTCCCCGCACCAAATCAGTGCCGTAGCTGTACGATCGAAGAATGAATTCAGCACTCACGGCGCTCAAATCAGCGGGCGAAGCACCAGGGCTGACGGCGTGGCAGAAGGTGGCCAGTGACGTCACTGGTCTTCGTGTTCACAACATAGTGTTTGTTCACGAGTAGGGCGAGTACGTCATGGGCTACAGGCACCTTGAAACTAAACATGTCGTTGGAGTAACCCAAGAGTACATAACAAAACCTTGCTCTAGCATTGAGGCGAATGAGTTTCTTTGGCGTGATTAAGGGTAGTCACCCTGTGGACGTTGTTCATGCTCAAACACTTATGTCGAGTGCATTGACGAGCTCTGATAATGAATTTTCACCAGTGCAGATAAGTTGTCACTAATGGAAATAAAAAGAAGAGGTGGAGTTTCCACTGCTGCGTCAGCCGAACATCGTTACGTGTTCAACGGACAATCATGTAATAAATGACGCAAACACTGAAACTGCTGATAAGTCCTGCAGCTAGCTTCTCGCTGGCTCAAATCGGTTAATTGACATTACATTTAGCCAGACGGTTGGAAACCACGGGTAAAAGTAAAATGGTATAACTAGGGTTGTACTGTCAAGTGCCATAAAAGCTCCTCTCTTTTAGTACTTTGTTCATTGTACAGTGGTGAAGTAAGCTTCCCGAGCGTCGAAGTGCTTTTGCCCTATTGTATCACACTGGCGCACGAACTATTATGACTATTTACTAAGCTAGAGAAATGCTGGTGTTTTTATGAGTACGCAGAATGAATGGTGTTGAAACACGCCCGTACGCTGTGAAATGAGCGCATGACTGTGAAACTAGTGCATGTGAGCATGCACTGAAATACACTCGTACAATGTGCATCTGAAAGTAAGGGGTCTTAGTTGACTTGCTAAATGTAAAGGAACAGGATTGAAAGAACAAGCTGAATTGTTATCCAGTTCATAGGATAACTGGTATGCTACACAAAACTGGGGAAATAGATAGGGAAGTTCAAAAAATATATAGAGCGAGAAAAATACCGTAGAATGAGAATAAAATACTACCAAGTCAGAGAATGCACTGCTAGAAAACATTTAGACTGGGGCTTCACCCACGGGGCGTTACATTTTACGATGCTTGTGGACGGGAATCTTTTAGACTACTGCCACAAGTAGCGACTTACTCCCTGGCGTTTTGTTATAGTCAGGGTAAAACATGCACTTTAGCGTCAGCAATCATATTGAGCAAACCAGCCTTAGCCTTGACGCAATGAATGATATTCTCATGAGTAGCACTACAGAGTGTCCATTGAAAGTTGGAGGTAGGTAGTTAGACAGGACACCAGCAAGCTGTGCCAGGCGACAAAGAACCTTACTAAGAAATGTTCAAACATGAAAGCCTCACACGCAAAAGCTAAAATAAAGCTAGAAGTGTAATTGAAATCGATCAATAGTTGCAAGGTGTCCGATGTAAGAAGGTATAACACGGGGAGATTTGAACATTCTCTAAGGAACGGAGGAAGCGTCAAAGCGATGCAGGTAAAACTCGGGATAGAATAAAACCAGATGTATGCACTAATTGACAAAGAAGGCAAAGTAACTACCAATATGCACAGGATAATTAAATTAGTGAGAGAGTTTTACAGAGATCTGTACAGTAGCCGGGACAACCACGACATTAATGTAAGAACTAGCAGTACTCCATATGACATTCCACAAGAAACGACAAAAGAAGTCAGGAAAGTCTTCGAAGGAATGCAAAGAGGCAAAGCTGCTGGTGAGGACAATGTGACATCAGATCTGCTTAAAGACGGAAAACAGATAATCTTAGAAAAACTGGCTACCCTGTTAACGAAGTGTTTTCTGACGGGGAGGGTACCAGAATATTGGAAGAATACTAACATCATCTTAATTCCTAGCAACAGCGATGACAAGGACTTCAAGAATTAGGGCCCGATCACCTTGCTATTCATTCTATAGAGGATATTTACAGAGGTAACTGCTAACCAAACCAGGAGAACATTAGAATTGAATCAACTAATGGATAAAGCAGTATTTCGTACAGGCTACTGAACAATCGACCGCATTGATACTATCAATTAGGTGATAGAGAAATGTTCAAAATACACCCAACCTCTTCACATAGCCTTCATAGATTATGAAAAGGCATGATTCTCTAGGCAAATATGCAGTCATGCAGGCACTGCGGAATCAGGGCGTCGATAAAGCATATGTAAACATTCTGAAAAAAATCTACAGCAGACAAACCGCCAACATAGTGCTCCATAAAGAAAGCGTCAGAATACCAATGAAGAAAGGGTGTAAGACAAGGGGATAGGACCTCTCCAATGCTATTATTTGCGATGCACTTCTTTGTGCACTGCATGCACTTTAAATCTATCTATCTATCATTCTATCTATCTATCTAACTATCTATCTATCTATCTATCTATCTATCTATCTATCTATCTATCTGTCTGTCTGTCTGTCTGTCTGTCTGTCTAGCCGTCTACGTCTGGGTTCTCTCATGATCACCATTTTAACCTTCGGTGAAGCAAAATTAGTATGGCAGAGTAACATAATTTGATGAAGACGACTCACTAGTCATGACATAAATAATGTTACAATCTCGTTTCGTATGTCATCAAACACTTCCCGCCAGACAGCTCCCGCCATACCTGCGAGTGGGTATGTTTCAATGGTATGCGGGTATGTGCTACAGCTGATTGACACTTTATATCTACCCAGGCACGACGAGAATACACATGGTTATTACAGTGAAGGCTGTTATGAGATCACTTTTCGGGTCACGCGCAGTTGCATGTTGTCCGCCACCGCCACCGCTGCTGCCGCCGGTGTTCGTAACCACATCGCGCGAAATTAGAAAAAAAGTTGTACCAACGACAGAGTGGGGTTTGAACCCGGGTCCGCCGGGTGCCAGCCCAATATTCTACCACTGAGTAACACTTGTGCTTGTATCTTGTTGTCAAACTTGCCTTAGGCAGGCATGACCTAGCACCAATGACACAGTGTGGATCGAACCCGGGTCCACTGGATTCCAGCCCAGTATTCTACCACTGAGCTACACCACTGAGTAGTTACCCAATGAGTGTGTTAAAAAGGATCTGAAAGGCCACTCTTCTAGCTTTCGCTGCGACTGTGCTGCGCCTACCGCGCAGGCCTGGCGTTTTTTTTTTAGTGATTGAGCGTTAAGAAGAAAAATAAAATCTCACATCGGCAGCGTTGACCGCATGAATGTGAAGAATAAATGTCAGGGTCTCAGCAGGAATTTGAAAATCAAGTATTTCAGAGCCATGCCAGGTCCTGGAACTATTTTGCACAAGACCGCAATGTTCACGAATTGTCAAGTGTGGTTTGAGGGCTGCGGGAGGGAGAGGGGTCTATCAAATTTTCTAAACACTACACATTGTCCCAAGGTCATGACTTTACAATAGCAGCAAGCTGTATATCTAAGATGAAACTTTATTACGCCGAAGTCACGGCCAATAAATGGAAAGTCAGAATACAACAATACAAACTGGCACTACTAGCAGCGAAAGGAACGTCGGCCGTCGACCAACTTATCACCGTTCGGATGTGCCTTAATTTATACATTACACGTTCAACATTCCAGTCTTATCAATAGTGGTCGCGCTCTCTCTGGAACAAGCTTCAGTAATCTTGTCTTGCGCGCAATCTTCAAAAAACAATTCACCACGATCGTGAAGGTTCTGGAACACTGAAGCGTGGTCTGTGCCGAGCATTGCAGACAGCATTTGTGAGCGTAAACCAAATACCACGAAACTGAAACAAACGCGCGTGTCAATACCTATTGCTACGATGCCACCGTAACATCGGGTTAGCGTCAATCCTAGTCAGGTACCATTGTCGCTGAAGTGGATTTATGTAGCATCATTCAGGGCTACTGTCCTCACTAGCACTGCAGCGTTTGATATTAGCTTACCAATTCTAGAGTAGGTAGTATACATGCTGCTGTTGGCATCATTATGCAACTGTAAGCAACTGTTTGTAAAATCATATGTGGCTTTTTAACGTAAGCTCATGCGTGAATTTGTTCGTATCTTAAGCGCCACTTTGTGTCGTTTCGCTCAATAAAAAAATTACACCACACTCACCTAACACGCGGTTGCTTCGCAGAAGAGCGATTCGCAAGGTACGTAAGGTCTTCCAAATTTCTTACCACGTGGTCGTTTTTCGAGGCCTAAAATTGGAAGAGTTAAAAATACGAGTTGATAGCGAGTCCTTTACTAAGCTGCGCTTCACCGACGACATTGCATTGCTGAGTGAATCAGGGGTTGAATTGTAATTCAAGATTATTAAAATAGACAAGGAGAGCAGAACGGTAGGCCCTAAAGTTATGCTGCAGAAAAAGAAAATGATGCACAACAAGGCTTATCCCCGTATATAATGTGCGAGATCATTGGTGAAACACGACGAAACATGGTACTTGATGGATATGTCGGGTTTAACGTCCCAAAAACACCATATGAACCCAAACATGATACTGAAACATAACAGCATGCCAAGCTCATAGTGCACTTATGGCCATTTTGCTAGCTTCACATACACCAAACTTGGTATTACGTGACGTAAATAGACGACGAAAGTAAATGACACGTAAAACCATGATAATCATCATGACATGCGTGTCATGTAAAACATCACTTCATGCTACGCTCATAGCGCGCTCAGTGGCCGTTTTGCCAGCTTCGCGTTTAGCAAATTTTGCATACGTGGTGGCAAGTGAACGACGGACACAAATGCCAAGCACAAACAGATGATCATGACTTGATAGTCATGTACGGGATAATTTACAAGATACGCTCATGGTGCCTTTGCAGCCGGTTAGCTAGCTTGATATACACCTTAATTAGGCATCGAGGGACATCACTGTATTGCGAACGTGTATTACAGGTCTTAAAATGCGAATCAAGACAAGCAACATTAGTACGGCTGTCGTGACGTGACTATAAAAAACATACTAGCACCTTATCTAGATACGTGAGTGCGCGTAACATTTCTAGTTGTGTTAATGATGTACTACGTTACCCGCCCCGTGACGTTGTGCAGATTTTAATGTTATATATCAAAATTCCTCATTCCGTGCTTCGCCTGTCATCGATTCCCACTGAACGTGGGATCTAGCCGATTTGTTTCTCTTTGTTTCATACTGAATTTATCTTTTACTTATCAACCTCCTGATCTCACACCTCTCTAGATTGATGTTCATGTTGCGTACTTCTAGTGGCCGAAAATTATCATCTTCACATATACAGAAGGCCAATAACTATCCATCAGCATTTGACCAACCTGCAGAAAACATTCAATGTACATTCAACCGCGCCCCCATACCAGCCTCTCTGCGGTCTCATTTAGCGGGGAAAGCATCGGGTTACCTACGAAACGCCCCCCTGCTCGATGAACCACGCAGATGCGAGCACTCAGCCGGCGCCGACAACTCTGCAAACGTTAACTCAGTGAAAGACAACTACTTCTGCGCCTACCACAACTGTGGCGGACGGCTTCTTTAACTGCACCTCTAAACTTCCGTCGCTTGCTTCAGTGATGCAGTTGTTACTGTCCCAGGCCATCCTGAGTGCCGTCGCCCTCGTTGCGACAGCACAAATACCGCTGTGTCCTTATCACGGTGAGTTTTCGCAGCTGAATTAATTTACTTGGTGTGACGTGTTTTCTCGTCGTTTGCATTCGCGCCAATTGTATTGAAATAATATATCGTCCTTGGCCGGGTATATCGGTTCTTCTGAACTAGTTTGGTGTCCCTCCCAAACATACATTGTGTTTAAAAATTTTACAATCAATCCGTGCATTTGGAAGCTAAAATGAATTTTGTGTGTGCCGGCATTACTCAATGCATATATTAGTTATTTAAGTGTGTAATGAATATAAGACTATGATCAGCTTACATGCAATTTTACTTAATGCACTTAGTAAGTTCCCTAGTATCTGACTTTACTGTCGGAGAAAAGCGGAGCAATAGTAAAATAATCCCCATAAATCAGCCGTTAAGACATGTTGCCTACGAAACTATGATTTTGCTGAAGTGGACTGTTCCATGCCTGCCTTTCGGCGCTTCTGATTACGTGTGTTGCGATTGCCCACCCAAGTTGAAATTGTAATGTATTTTCTAGATGTGTTCGCAATATTCTCGAAGTGAACAACAACCATCAGGATATGTTTTATACAAGATCGCTTAATAATTCACGGATCGACTTCCCGTAGAAGTGGAATAAAACTTGTAGCTGATTGAGAAAGTTAAAACAAATTATGGTGGCTGATCACCTGATGCATCTATACTACCTCTTGCAGCGCACCTTACAGAGGAGCTTCGGAATTGTCACGGCCCGGAGCTCAGTAGCAATGAAGCGTTCAACACGGTATGAAAGCCAATAATATATTATCAATAAGAAAATAATAATTAAATCCGTATTCTGACGCCTGAAAACAATGATAAGAATATGAGAGACGCCGTATTGAAGGGCTCGAGAAATTTCGACCATCTGGCGTACTTTAACGTGCACTGACAACACGCAGTACATGGTCAGTCAAGATTTTCATCTGCACCTAAATGTGGTGGCGGGGATGAAATTCACGACCTTCGTGTGAGCAGACAAGAATCTCACGAAGTACGTGACTTAACTGAAAGATGGTCGCCAGTCTGTTAGTAAGAATATAGTGTTTATTGACTTGTATGTTGTGTTGGGAAAGGGAAGGAGGATTGCTTAAGGGGTGAAGCACCCTAGGGTATAGGCTTGTCTGCTAATGCGTTGTCCAATGTAAAAGCTATACGCTATGACTATGAGGCTGATTGCGATGAACAATAAGCTCTTTAGCACATGCACAGCACACAAAGGTACCCACTATACGCCATGACGATGACCCTGTTCACGACGATGAATAAGAACGTTAGCACGTTCAAGGTACCCGATGACGATGATGACCAAGGAACATTTTCCTTCTGCCATGAATGAGAGCGAACGTTAAGCACGGTAAGGGGTGATGCTCTCCATGTTGCATTTTGTTTGTCTGGAAACGACCGACAACCACCAGGAAACCATGCATAAACTTCCTCTATGCCAACTTAAGAGTAGATTCCATAAAAGAATCATTGGCTTTACATTTCACAAACCACAAAGCAGCCCACAAGACTACACTTCATTTATGACCAATAGACACGGTATGTAACTCAGCACCACTGTTTCACTCAATAACTTGCATGAATGGTCCATGGCACGGTTTATTTACGGTAACTCCAATTGATCGCACTGCTTCACTCATTCATCATCATTAACTTCGTATAGATTCTATGATTTTTCAATATGGCAGTTTACTTCGAGTTACTCTCTTCAGATAAGGCAGGTGTCTCAAAGAAGCGGCCCGCGAGCCAGATGCGGGACGCGAACATCTTGCTTGCGGTGCGCATATCACTGTCTTCAAACCACATTTTTTTTCAATTTTCATAATAAGCAAACTTGGTATCTACACAGGCATTGGGTTGATGGGTAATACGCATGGAAGTGCTACAGTTTAATGTTTTTGCTATGTGAAGGCAATGAAGATCTCAACTGTTACAGAGTGTTGGCTCATTACTTCTCAGCCAGGTTAATGAGCGAAAGCACACGTTCTTTTATGCTCCAGTGTTGAAAACCTCCTTTTATATATTTGGCCGCCTCTTGCAACACCAACAATATTTGCGCCTTTGGCAAGTACACTGTAGAAAAAAGTGTATGACAGTTCACTTGAAACGTTGTACTGCATTGATGAACACTAAATACTCCGTCTAAATACATTTTGATGCCATTGATTAGGACAAAGGTTTAAGTTGGCCAACGACATTCTGCCATGAATTTCACAGGTAAACATACTAAATACGAGTGCCCTGAGAAAAATTCCTTCACTGTTATTAGTCGAATTTTAAGAGAAGTTAGTAAAGCTGTGGCTGTTTTAATTTGCAGTAATATTTTCACACTGTCAAGAATTATATTCATCACGTTTCCCTTGGTTCTATGAATAATCGTAACGGTATATTTGCTAACCTGGCTTTTGTTAAGGGTAGCTTAGTGGAACAATGAATCAGGCTAGATTGATAAATTGCACTATTGGAACTCGAATATCGTTATTTTTAACACCAGAGGTTGCAAGAGAAGTACAGGAAAAAATGAAAGCGAACAATTCATATTTTATGTCCTCGTCGAAATTTCTACATGTTGGATCGCCGATTTAATGGCTGAGTTCTTGTGCTTTGATGAAATTGCGTGAACTGTTAACTCTATAGAACCCCCACCCCCTCCGCCGAAGGTCAATGCATATATTTCATTTTTGCTGACAGATACTTCAGGGTGGTGCCAACACCTGCAATTTATTTCGGCCCGATTTCGCACTTACCGTGCGTCTTCCCGAGGCAAGCAGTGATTTTGTAAAAGTAAAGTAGTCATTTAAAAATAGAAAAAAAATGTTTTTCTCTTCGGCGTTCCTTTAAAGAAAGCTTGCAGTCATACCACTTCAGGTGTCTATGAGCGAATGATAACTTTTAGGAAATTTCTTCTACAGCAATTTCACTGGTATAGCGCACCACGACAAGGACACACACAAAGGAGAGATGCACACACACACAGCGCTGTGTGTGTGTGTGCATCTCTCCTTTGTGTGTGTCCTTGTCGTGGTGCGCTATACCAGTGAAAATGATGAATCTCAACCAACTATCCCGGCAACGTGCCTTAGCAAAGTTCTTCTACGGACTTTTCTTTTAACTCAGACAAATTTATATTTTTCAGCTTTCGGAATTCAGCAAGAGGTACGAGGAGTACTGCGCACGTAAGATAGCGCCCCAGATGTCCGTCTCCGAACTGCACGTGCACAGATGCGCGGACAAGCAGTTTAACAGATTGGTAAGTATCCCTCCACCCCCCAAATAAACAGAAAAAAAACTAGTTATGAATACTATTTACTTGGCTAAGCATGACAATTTCAAATAAAAAACACCCCTTAACTATAAATACACAATAAACAATAGAGAAATTAAGAGTTCTAATGAGCTTAAATACTTAGGTGTTACTATATCCAGCAGTTTAAAGTGGAACAAGCATATTGACAATATTACAGGACTGGCGAAGCGAAAGCTGGGTTTTCTGAGAAGGAAACTCCGTAATGCACCACCCTCTGTTAAATTGTTGGCGTATAAGACTATTGTTAGACCAACGCTGGAGTACGCAGCTATCATCTGGGATCCGCATACTAAAACTGAAATTAACAAACTTGAACGAGTACAAAGATTGGCCGCGAGGTTTATTTATTCAAATTACATGAGAACACAGTCTGTATCACTTTTGCTTGCTAGGGCTGACCTTCAATCGTTAGCTACACGTAGAAAAATAGCTCGCTTAAAATTTATTTATGACCTGTATCATAAAAACTACAAGCTGGATCCCAGTGTATACCTGCGCCCCCCAGGACGAGTATCGGCTCGTACCAATCACTCATTTTCTGTCCAAGCTTATGTACCGCGGGTGGATGTATTTAAGTTTTCGTTTCTGGTGCGATCTATTGTTGACTGGAATGCGCTTCCTCCCGAGGTACTTACAGGATGTAGATCCTCACAGGATTTTCAACAACGGCTGGACTTGTTTTTTGCCTAACATTGTGTGTGTATTGTTAACCTGTTCACCTCCCACCCCTGCTACAGCCCGCAAGGGCTAGCAGTATTGTAAATAAATAAATAAATATACTCGTCACGTTTTCCTTGGTGCTATGAATAATTGTAACGGTATATTTGCTAACCTGGCTTTTGTTAAGGGTAGCTATATTGGAACAATGAATCAGGCTAGATCGATAAATTGCACTATTGGAAATCTAATGTCGTTATTTTCACCACCAGAGGTTACAAGAGAAGTAAGTACAGGAAAAAATCAAAGCGAACAATCCATACTTTATTTCCTCGTCGAAATTTCTACATGTCGGATCGTAGATTTAATAGCTTAGTTCTCGTGCTTTGATGAGATTGCGTGAACTAATAATTCTATAGAACCCCCACCCCCTCCGCCGAAGGTCAATGCATATATTTCATTTTCGCTGACAGAAATTTGAAGGTGGTGCCAACACCTGCAATTTATTTCGGTCCATTTTCGCACTTACCGTGCGTCTTCCTGAGGGAAGCAGTGATTTTGTAAATGTAAAGTAGTCATTTAAAAGAAGAGAAAAAATTGTTTTTCCCTTCGACGTTCCCTTAAAGAAAGCTTGCAGTCATACCACTTCAGGCGTCTGTGAGCGAATGATAAATTTTAGGAAATTTCTTTCACAGACTTTTCTTTAACTCGAACAAATTTTAATTTTTCAGCTTTCGGAAATCAGCAAGAGGTACGAGGAGTATTGCGCACGTAAGATAGCGCCCCAGATGTCCGTCTCCGAACTGCAAGTGCACAGATGCGCGGACAAGCAGTTTAACAAATTGGTAAGTGCTCGTACCCCCCCCATCCATAAAAAAAAACAAGAAAAAAAATAGTTTTGAATACTACTTCCTAGGCTAAGCTCATTAGAAAAACGGTTTCAACCTCCACAAGTTCTATTTGTGTGATAGTGTATTTTCTGTGGCAGTTTTACAGGTGCTGGGCGGATATGTTAAGTTCAGACTATTCATTGGTAAGTGCTTCACTTCAAGCGTCTTATTTAAAAATAAATGTCTTGTGCAGAGTACAAGACAAAAAAACCTCGTGTTTTTTTTTAGAAGGAATCCAGTTGAATGATTTTCATGCTTGTACATTTCCGTTAAGGATCTTACCTAGACTATGTGCACCAATAAGTGTCAGTGTTTTTGGGGCATTGCAGAATGTTTCAGTATAAGACAATTTTTTATTAAACGTGACATCTAGTTCGTAAATGGAAATGGAACCAGAAAGCAACATGATTTACCGGATGTCATAATGCATAAATTGTTCCAAGCAGCTTTCTAGATTCATACGTTAAAGTGTTACCAAAAATGCCGTTACAGTGAAAGAAATATTCGGCAAAGAAGGCGCAGAATGATTCAGTGCTGTTGTGTACAGTAGCCAATCCTCTGAAGGTGAAGCAATCATTTTATCTCTTGCTACCTGGGAGGTAGAGTAGTTTAAAATTTTGTTTATTATCAAAGTAAAGTGCCGAAATATCCTCTATGCTATGACCAAGTGCTGCAAGACATTACCTTCCCTCATGAGGGCACCTGCGGACCCCCATGATTTCAGTTATGTCTTATGATGCGTGATATTGCTTAATAAGACCTTCGTGACTAAATGGCCGGTCACTACATTATAGGACACATACTATTTATTCAACTTTCAATTTTACAGAATTCAGCGGGCGTTGACAATCATGACTTGGCTGTATTCAAGAAATCCCTGGTGAGTTTCCACCACTTTCAAATATATCGAAATGTACGTGAATGATATCAGTTAGTTGGAATATGGTTTTATTTTTGGATAATGTCATGTGAACTTCTCAAACTGCTTCCAAAGCTTTGTAGAACAACCATGAAGTACTTGCATCGGTGGCTTCCAACAAATTGTGTTCTGTACAATACTAATGCCTTAGGAGAACAATGATTGCATTTTAATAATTGCGAACCTTTTTTTTTCAGGATTGCCAGTTTCACGTTCTCGAAATTGAGCCATAATGAGCAATTTTTTTCCCACGGCAAGTTATCTCACGGCCAAAACAAATCACCCTTTATCGTTTGAGGAAAATCTTAATAAATGCGTTGCTGCACACGTCGTGTGACACTTATAAAGAAAAACCGCCACGCAAAGTTTGGAACGACTACGTATGCTTTTCAACACTTTGAACGTAGCATTGTTATTTACAGGAGAGTTGTACAATACCACTGGGCTGTGGAAACTTAATTATGGCAGAAAGACGTGATAACACAGTCTTGCAACTCCAATGTTGAAATTAAACGCTTCGGCAATCAGCTCCCTCTGATGAAAAAAGAAATCTTTAAAATAAAATTGGCACTTCTGAATGCCTTTGCAAATGTAGCTGAAAGAAAATGTGATGCAAAATTAAGTGGTAGATATTTTGGCCTCCTGGCGCTTATTCATGATTCTTATTTCTCGTTTTCCGGACAGTCTAACATCAATTACTACAACGTTTCTATGCCTTCATTACTTCAGTACTCTGTCTAAGATGCAGGGTTGCTGTGCGTGTATTTTCTAGCCGACGTGTAACGTTGTCTTTAAGTACTAAAAAAAAACTCCATAAAGTTACGCACAAAGTCTTACTCCAGAAAATAAACAGCCGTGTAAGTTCTACACACGTCCCTTAATTCACTATATTTAGTGAGCATTTAAAACTCTTCAATTAAACCAATTTGGTAAGATGACAACCTGGTGAAATTGACTTCATACAAAAAGTATTGTAAAATCCCTATGGAGTAGCACCACCTCGCTGAATAAAAAATTTCAAACACACTGGTCGCAAAAATATGTAAATGACAAAACCAAATTACACGATACATTTCACGGACAGTAAGCAATAGAAGGTTCTTCCATATCTTAGGTAGTTGGCTTACTTTGCGATCATTATAACTGCAGCACGGTAAAGTAACAATTGCTGACAAGGCGAAACCTTCGTATATGTTTGATCACCTCAAGCTGCTTCATTTCTTCGTGTTTGGTGTCTTGTAATACTCAAAACTGGCTGAGTAACACGCAGGTGAACTGAAACTGCTGATGTGGTGTACGATTTCTCACGAAATACATCATTTTATTCGAAAATGCTTCACAAAGAAAAAAGAACTATTTATAAAGCTATAGAAAACGCTTGTTTGGAGACTAGGAGAAACGTATTGAGTAACCTGAGGCTAATGGGGCACTTTACAATTCTGCCAGAACAGATTTTTTAAAATAGACCAGTTTTTCATCTATTCACAGTTCATTTGGTGTCTCTTTTTCACATCGAAGAGAGGTGCCTCAGCTATACCTTCGTTTTATGTGATAGCTTAGCTCGTTGTAGTTCTGCTTGGGTATGCTTCGCTACCGGGTTGCGGAGAGATAATTAGGATATGAACGTGAGTCTGTAGTATGAGTCAAACAGTGTTTTCTTAGGCAAGAACCGAATAGAAAAATTCAACGCAAGCACGTTAAAGAGGCTGTTTTGCTGAAATTTTATTGTCCGCATTGTTGGTTGTATGCGAAACGCCAAACTTTCTCATAACCAGAAACTTGAGATAAGTGCCAATAAAGCAATAAATGTTTCATGCAAAGGGGAAGCAAACCAGCACTTCTGCATGGCAAGCAGATGTTGAACAGCTGAGCCTGGCTGGTTCTCGTAATCAATGAGATAAAAAGAGACATGAATATACGAGGAGTGCGGAGTGTGATTAAAAGGTGTAGTGTGGCGTCATGGATGTGAATACTTACAAGAGCTGTCAAAATACATGAATTCTACAACGAATGATTAGTCTAAAGGGCAAAGCATCACACAAAACACGCAGTAGCTGTACCTAATAGCTGTTATTCACAACAGCAATAACATGCGCCAGCTGCGTCGGTGCTCTTCTTTATTACTGATACGTCGTGGGCATTTCAAGATTTTTTTTTTTTTTTGCAAAAGAGGAAACATGTGGAAGTGTGAACTTCCAAACTGTAGTTGCAGTAGGCATTCTAGAGCAGTTTGAAAGGGTCAGTTTATCAGCCCTCACACGTTCCTCTCATCGTGTTATGGTGTTCGCGGTGTTCAGGCTAGACATTGATAAGGCGATGTGAATAGGCTCTGATTACGCTGTCAAGTTATGTTTTTCAAGGCCGAGTCGAGTGTCCTCCCAAGTTTTTGATAATGGGAGCATAATCTTTCCGTGCTTACGCGCAAGCTATTAGATCTATTCGCGCTTGATCATTCAGTACTTCCTCACACAGTATAAGTATAGCTTCGATGAGTACTGTGGCGAAGTTTCCAGGGCACACCATGATTGTGATGCGTCCTGCACTTCGTCTACAGGCGGCGTTAACAAGCAATGATACTTTTCGAGACTTTTGAATACTCATTGGCCAAACGAACAGTGGTGCCGGATTTCAATGTTGGATAGTCAAATTGCGAGTATAAAAAGGACGATATGTAAATGTGTAGCCGGCATTCCACATCATATCTCGTGAAGTGCCACATCACATAAAAACAGGTTCAGAAAAAGAAAACAAAACGCCAAACTTAGATATTAGAAGAACAAGAGCCCTACGAAGAACCTAGAAAGTCTACAGATTCAGGAGCGTCTCAAGCTACACTTGCAACTGGTACTACCAGCGAAGCACAACTTCCAACGACGCGGAGATCATACCTCCTGCGCAGGTCTAGTAATCGAATTATTGTGGCACATCCTCCTCTTGCCTACTCTCCTAGACATCCACGGGCACACATACCCATGTGTAACTCCTCGCTTCGGGTGCTAGCCAATGGTGTAGCTCCTGGAGGATATTGGCTCTGTCTAGAATAGTATGAAAGAAAACAAATGGAGTCTGTCTGCTGCCCTTGCTAGCGTGTTCGCCTCCTCGGTGGCGTACATACCGATGACTCAGACACTATTCATCACCCACACACAGTAAAGAAAAAAACGAAAGTTCTACCACTACATTAACGCTGTCAAGGGACTTCATTGTACTCGAACTCTACAGCCGCCTCAAGTTACGTTCTCAGCAAGCATGTGCGTGCGGGGAGCCGCAGGCAGCATCTGCAGGTAAAGAAAGAAAGCATAAGCATCGCACAGAAGACCAATACTTCCGTTCAGCATTGCGGACGTTCGAACGACACGTTAGAGCTAATAGACCAAGCTCATAACCATAGTCGACATCCTGCAGCAGCAGCGTGGCCCACTGTAGAATTAACCGTGGACATCTTTCAGTACATTAACCTTCATCCCTGAACGTTTTATAGCAACAAAGTGCATTAAAAGATTGAGTGGTCAACGTGTTCCACCTGCATATGCCATACCAATATTGCGCAGCTACTTATGAGGCGTTCGCTCTGCTGCACAGAACTCTGCCGAAAGGGCATCTGCGAAAGTGACGAAATCGCCTGCGGTCAAAAAACATACGAACGCTTCCCTTCGGGCTTTCAGACGGAGACTGCTCAAAATTCAGGGAACGTTTCGTCGAACAGCCGTTTTATGCCGTAGCTTCTGGCAAGCTGTCGGCACCAGCAGCGTAGTATTTGCTAGAGTGCTGCCAACTAGCGTTCGAAACTACCCTTCGTGGCCTCGGCGTTTTCGTCGTAGGCGGGTACCTTGAAGGTGCTTCAGGTGAAGGCGGCGACGGTCAGCAGTCTACTACGCACCTTCTGCATTGTCACGACTGTAAAGCACACAAGTGGTGTTCTTGCCTTGTAAGCACTACAGTAAAAAATTTGCAGCTGGACTGCGCGTGGACACTTATCTAAGTGGCGAATAGGAGTCGCCGTAGAACTGAATATATATCTGCCTAATCATCTGCAGGAATTATCCTTCCGAAGAGGCACCGGCAGACACAAAGGGTAAGCTCACAAAATGTCTCTTTATTTGTTTTGTTCTTGTTTCACTGCGAGTTTTTTATTGTTACTTTAGTACATAACTTTAAAAATTTTCTCGGCAGCGCCACACACGCTCTAACAAAAATGAGTTGCTTTTTGTGTCAGTACACCATACAGCTAAACCAAGCGAAATTCTTAGTTTTCTTGATGTTCGAAAAATTCACCTCATAAATTATTAGACAGAATCTGCCTAGAATTAGACGGAGTCTTATTTGAGACAGAATTCCGCCCAAATATAAACAGAATTTCAAAGCTCTTTGACTACTGTATGAGCTCACAAAGCTCAGCCGCCATAATGGTCTAGTAGTTACGGCACTCAAATGCTGACTCGAAGGTCGCCGGATGATATCCAGGTCATTGTGGCCAGATTTTGGTAGAGCCAAAATTTAACTGGCGCATGTACTTAAATTTAAGTGAACACTAAAGATTCGCAGGTGTTGAATATTTTCCGGAGCCTACGGCTTCCTCTACAAACATATGCTGGTTTCGGAACGTGAATCTTCAATAATTGCTATCGGATGACTCTCCACATATGCCGAGCGAGAAAAAGGTATTAACAATTTGAGGTAGAAATAAATCTGAAAACAGTAAACAATCTCGCTTGTTAGAGAAATGTTACTTTTGTTGAGACGCTTCGAATTTTCAGTCAGATTTACTTATATGTTTTCTATAATAGCTTGAGTCAAGCTGTGAAACAACCTATGTGCTTTCACAAGAATGAAACAATCAAGTTTTTGTTTTCGCTTCACCTAAAAAGTTAGGATATGTTGCGAATGCCATATTTGCAATGAATAATTTCTGGATTTAGCCGTGTCACATTAATGCAGACTACCCAGTTGGAAAGCTGCACAGAGAACCAATTCAAGACCGGCTAATCTCTTTCTATTAGATTTGGCTTCTGGTATCACGTTTTTGTTCTAATATGGTCCCACGAGATGAAAAAAAAAACAGAATGCCTAGGCACTTGTTCGAAAAGATGCTAACGGCATGAAAGAGTTTACCAATCAGCTATTGAAGGTGGAGAAACGGAGGAGGCGTAAGCAAACTTAAAACGAAAAGCGTAAGTATCGGACACGCCCTTCGTCTTCTTTAGGTTGCTATCTGTTCATAAAAGACCTTTCCGTTATCTTTATTGTCTATCAGTAAGAACACCGACAGATTGATAGAAATGAAAATGCACTGCATATCATTTCGTATTCATTGATACTTCGGTCA